AGAAGACTGACATGGATGGCAACGTGCATACTATAAAGCACGGCTGGTTGCCAAAGGTTTCAAACAAATTCATGGCATGACTATGAAGAAACCTTTTCGCGGTTGCCATGATTAAATCCATCCGGATTATGCTTGCAATTGCTGCATATCATGACTATGAGATTTGGCAAATGGATGTCAAAACTGCTTTCCTGAACGGAAACCTTGAGGAGGATGTGTATATGACACAACCTGATGGTTCGTTCTTGATAGTCAAGCTAATAAGGTATGCAAGTTGCAGAGATCCATTATGGACTCAAGCAAGCTTCAAGGAGTGGAACATTCATTTTGATGAAGCCGTAAAAGAATTCGGTTTTATAAGAACAAAGAGAGCCCTGTGTTTACAAGAAAGTGAGTGGGAGCGTAGTAGCATTCCTAGTGTTGTATGTCGATGACATACTTCTGATCGGGAATGATATACCGAACTTGCAGTCGGTAAAGACTTGGTTATCCAAGTGCTTTCAGAAGGACTTAGGGAAGCGGCTACATCCTGGTATAAAGATCTATGTGATAGATTGCGTAGGTTGCTTGGCTAAGTCAGAGTGCATATATTGACAAAGTACTGAAACGATTCAGTATGGAAGAATCCAAGAAAGGATTTCTTCCGATGTCACATGGTGTTATCTCTCTAAGGAATGTGTCCTAAAACACAAGATGAGAGAGATAGGATGAAAAGGATCCCATAAGCATCAGCAATAGGATCCATCATGTATGCCATGCTATGTACTCGGAGATGTCTCATGTGCCTTGAGCACTTGTGGTAGATATCAATCGGATCCAGGTGAGCGTCACTGGATGGCTGTCAAGAATATTCTTAAGTACTGAAGAGGACTAAAGATATGTCTTGGTTTATGGAGGGGAAGATGAGCTCACTGTAAGAGGATACAGTGATGCTAGTTTCCAAACGGACAAAGATGATTATCGATCGCAATCAGGGTTTGTATTTGTCTCAATGGCGGCAGTGGCTGGAAGAGCTCCAAGCAAAGCACTGTAGCGGATTCTACAATGGAGGCTGAGTATATTGCATTGTGGATGCGGCCAAGGAGGCGGTCTGGATTAAGAAGTTCATTACTGAACTAGTGTGGTTCCTACGATTGTTGATCCTATAGACATCTATTGTGACAACAATGGAGCAATTGCTCAAGCCAGGAAACCAAGGTCTCATCAGAAATCCAGACACATACTCAAACGATTCCATTCATCAGAGAGATAGTTGAGAGGAAAGACGTGCAGATTAGCAAAGTGCATACTGACGACAATCTCGCAGATCCACTAACAAAGCCTTTGTCGAGCAGAAGCATGACAGGCACTTGGATCATTGGTATTAAATATGAATGATTGGCTATAGTGCAAGTGGGAGATTGTTAGAGTAGATGCCCTAGACCAATCAATTATTGTAGAATTGACTCTTTGTAATAATGTTCATTAATCAATAAAAGGCATTTTATTCTATATCGCATAAATCATTATTATTGCAATATGTTGATATATGTCCTTAGAATGGTAGAACCGTGACGAAGGTATCAAGTGTTTCAAATCTTGAAGTGAGAACCCTATGAGCACATATGGTGGCCATTCTAGAAAGTCCGTAGCCCCAGTATTATTCTGAACTAAGGGCAAGATAATACGGTAAAGCTATCATAGTGTTGAACGACCCTGTCGAAAGGCAGTGACTGATCTCATGTGCAAGGTTGTGGTGAACACCTGGTGCAACACATGTGTGTTTGTTGTAGGCGATTACACCACAGCAAGTTCACTGGAATGACCCACCAGAGGATTCCATATGGATGGTAACCCCAGTGTTTATGGAACAAATCTCTAACGATGGTGGTGCATGTGATCCTTAGACTTGAGATCACGGAGCGCCTTGTGCACCGATTGGTGTAGTTGACACTAGTATACGAGTTCTTATCAGAGTTGTCAATACGGTGGTGATTGGCTACATCAAGGAGTGTATCAAGACTATGGTGGATTGACAGAGGATTTATCACTCCCGGTACGGGAGAAAAGTTATCTCACGGCGCAATTCAGTATATGGCAATGACACTAAAATTGTGGCCACAGTGGGATGAGTTGTTGCTCTATCCAGTTATAATAGGGTCATTGGTCCAGAAACTGAATAATAATATCGAGAGTAACCGAAGGTTGACACTACTTCTATGCTTCATCTCGTCGAGATAACGTATGATGAAAGGATCGAATTGCACGGTAACCATATGCTTGACAGTAGCTACTTTGCTGAATCCGAATCTATGGGTGGCCATGATGCCTTGCTAGGGGCCAATCTTGGTCTGTGTATGATGAGCGATTAATTGGTGTTAATCGCAATACTATACACTGCCGATATGATGAGGAGCCTAAGGGTCACACACATAGAAGACAATTTAAGATGCAAGAAGAAAGAAGGGCATTTTCGTCTTTAAGGCGAAAGGGTATTTGGTAATTTCACAGTGCAATTAAATTTGCTGAGGTCGTAGCTTTATTTAATTTGTTAGAAAAATTAAATAAGTGAAATTACGTTTAAATATGTGTTCGCACCTATTTAAATATATTATCATTATTTTTAATGTTAATATATATATATATATATATATATATATATATTAATTGATTTTATTGAGATAATGATGGAAATTAAAATAAATCAAATTGGGAGTGTTTGGCAACATGGGGCGTTTGGGTTGGAGCCCAAGCCTATCCGTATGGGATTAGGGCAAATGATTAACTATAAAAGAAAAGTGTGTGTGTTAATTAAAGACATGAATTGATTTCTTCAAAAGAAAAATACACACAGCAGCCCTTTTTGCTTCTCCCACGGCAGGAACACCAAGTGCCTAAAATCAAATCCATGATTTTGTTTTCTTCTTAATCTTGAAGCCAAAAAGGATCGGCAAATCCCTTTGGTTCTTTTAAGATTGTCTTCGTGTGGACTACGCAGGTTCGATCCTACACTTGGATCGGTAGCAAAACGTTCGTCGAAAAATTTGGAGGAGCTTTATCGTGCGTTTGTTCTCTTAACTCATGTTAATTATGCAGATTTTTTAATATAAATTGTAAAATCATACCCTTGATCTTGGTCATGTAAACGATCCTGTTATATATTTTTTTTTGTTCCGCTGCGTCATACGGGACCGTTACAAATATATTAGATGCCAAGCTTTCCATTTCAATCCCACAACCTATTTGGCAAACACAACAACTAAGCCTTCATGTATTTGGCAAACAACTCAATCTCAACAATAATCATTTCATCATACTATTTACCATTTACCAGACTGGTTCTGTTACAACAAATTAAGTGATGTGAACTAATGTTTTTGTTTGGTTCACTTTACTTAATTCATCTTTCATCAAAACAAAAAGGGGACTATATACAAATTTAATCCCAAAACATCAAAATATAATGTTTCATCAAAATATGGCTATATGTTGGGCAACTACATCCCAAAACCATTCTTGCCCCACCCATGAAAACAAGTGAAGTACATAAGTACATAAAGATGAATATGCGAACCAAACAAAAAATCAATCAAGTCAAACCTACACAATCCTGCTGCCACAGCCAATGGCATGCAAGGGAATCAAACAATCTACTAATTCCTATCTACTGATTCCCATCAATTGACGGGATAGGAAGAATAATCTCCAAGTGGTCTTGCTCTTTCTGAAATGAAAAAAGAAATAAAAATTAAATTTAGGTTAACATAAAGTAATTGTAACTATTGAGTTGCACAAAAAATAGAATCAATGGAACCTACTTAGCACCCTTTCTTCACTCTGTTCAAAGATCGACACCAATCTCATCCACATATGAGCATTTCCACTGTGTCGGGAGACAAAGAAGCTCGATAAATGTCAATAACCTTACTCTCGGCACTGAATGTAGACTTTGAAGCAACCGTAGTGATTAGGATGGCTAGTATCTCATGAGCCATCATAGACAATATAGGGTACTTGGTTGAATTTGCCTTCCACCATTGTAAAGCATCGAATGCCTCACGATCCCCCACGCACTTATGACACCCCTCTCACAAATAACAATCCAACTTAGACTTACTTGGCTTAATAATCTCAACCACATCCAAAAAATTGCTAAAATCATCCCAACTTACGGCTCCCACAACAGTTGCCTCCTCACCAACGGCTCCAACTCCATCCCCTACTATTGGAGGCCCACAGGCAATAGTATAAGCTTTATTAGCTTTAACATACTCCTCATATAGCTCATACAATGCATCCCAAACAGTTACAGTATTTGCCCGGGCTTCTAACTCAGAATACATCTTAGGGAATGCCCACTAAATTACCCTCATTTTCAACCGAGGATCCAATACAGCACCCACAAACATCAACACATTACATTCCCCCCAATACTTATCAAACTTCTCCTTCATCTTTCTTACCATGTTTCTAATAAAGTCATCTTCGTCTTTACTCTTACTATCCAACATCATTTTCTCTAGACACACCTCATTTAGAAATAAATTAGATGTCGGATAATCACTCCCTGAAATGAGATTAGTTGTACCACTAAAAACCTTTAAAATGTCCCACATTTTCTCCATTTTCTCTCAATCCTCATCTTGCAGACAATAATGATAACTTTTATCCCTTTCTTTCAATCAGGGAAAAACTTTTTTGAACTTAATTGCTACCAACATTTCATATGTCGAATTCCATCTTGTTTTAAAATGTAGAATAAGCTTCCCAAAAGGAAATTTAAGTTGTTGAACAATCTCAAAAAAAAAAAAAAAAAAAACCTTAATCCTACTCTCTAAAGCATTGATGTATAAGACACTCTCATGGATGTCGTCAATGATATGCCTAATCTGATAAAGTCCATCTTGAATAGTGATGTTTAAGATATGGGCAAAACATCTTACATTAAACAATTTACCTCCACAAATCAGATCCCCGTAACTTCAAAATTTTCCCTTAGAACTCTGCAGATTGCAACATCATTACTCGTTATCCACTAAGATAGTGTACACCTTATTTTCAATCCCCCATTCCATTAGGTACTTGGAAATGGAATCAGCAATTGCAACACCGATACGAGGAGGAGGTAAATGAACAAAGTTCAAGACATGTCTATTCATCCTCCAATTACCATCTATCAAATGCCCAGTGAGCACCACATACTTCATCTTCTGATTGCCGGAATTCCATAAATCTGTAGTCAAACTAATATTTGTCACATTCTTCAACAACGTCTTCAACTTCACTTTCTCACTTTCATATACCTTTATACAAACATTTTTACAGGTATGACAGGAAACCAGACTCCATTCGAGAATCCTATACTTCATCATGTTGTTCAAGCCATCTTCCTCCATAACTGAAAATGGATGCTCATGCATAAGCACCCAATGTGTGATAAGTTCCCTCATCTTCATCATGTCGAACTTTCCACTTAAAGCAGGCAAAATAGAAGTTCCAACATCAAAACTGACAACAGGAAAAGTAATATGTTGTTGCCTCATGGAAGCTATTCTCTTTGAACACCGTTTTAAATGTCTATTAAACTGGGTGGTGGTTCTGGTGGCATTAATACACAGCTTGGCTTTGCAATGGATACACACTACCTTCTTTGTACCATTCGAGAGAACCACCTCCTTAAACTTTGTCCAAACCACTGATGTTTTAGCTCTCTTTCTCCTTTGAATTGGATTTCATTCTCCCCACCATTATCTAGGCTACTAACACTGTGTTCCGTATTTATAGTGGTCTGTTTCAAGTTATGCTTATTGTCTGGTGTAATTGTAATTGTATCTTGCTCTGTAGGGGTGCTTGAGGTACTATCGTCCATCTCCAAACCTATAATACAAAATAAAAACAAAGGTGTTAGCTTTTCTTATTGATATATATTTGAAGTTTTCGAAATCAAGGAACATTAAAGTTATTTGATGATGAACACCCATTTCTATTAACCATGAAAAGATGGTTCTTTATTTAGAACCATCTTTTCATGGTTAATTATCACATGGATAATGTTTATCGCAATCCAATTTAACAAAACACAAAATCAAAACCATTATTTAAAACCTGAATTGGTTATTGGTCTGAATCACTAAAGTTTTCTATTACTTTACTTGAATGATAGGCCCTTTGATTTATCAATTTATGATGTTTTCAATTGAAGCAATTATAGCTTAGAGTCGATCAAAGTATTTAATGAGAAAATGACATAACTTCATTGGATTGAATTTTTTTTTATTTTTTTTCTATAGACTGTATGCTTGCTGGTCTTAAATTGATGAGAAATTGAGTTGGTTGTGAACTTTTGTGGTGAATTGAATTTGATTTGTAATAGTTGATTATGGGGGTGTGATTGTAAAAAATGAAAACTGCAAAAATTACGAGGGTGTAACTGTCGAAATTCAAAGCTGAAGCGAACAATATAGATACCCGCGGGTCCACCCATACCCACATAGGGTAGGGTCCAAGTCCAATTTTTAGGGTCCATTTAGATCTACCCGTTTTTGGCTCGTACCCGACCCACCCGCCCGTTTTGCTAGGTCTACCCATGAGCCACTTGACATTTCATTGTATGGTGTTGGCCTAGTAACATTGCCGGGCAGAATTCAGTATTGTAATTTCCTATGACCAAATGAACAGTTCAAAGATTAGATCTATAAGATATTTAATACCATAGTATGTTATAAAAATCTTTTGATCTTGTAATCCAAGTCTACAAGGCATTAACATCAGTTAAGATTATTATCAATTTGAGAATACTTTTTTGAAAAATCAAACAAAAAAAAAACATAAATTTTATTTATATTAATAAATGAATACTTTTATTAATAAAAAGTACAAAAAATCTATTTATCGATAGAAAAATACTCGTTAATTTATAAAACCTGTATAATTTCTTTTTAATATATGACATTTTTTAATTTCTTTTGACCAATAATAAGCTCATGGGATTGGTCTTCACTCTTCAGCATCGAAAACTAAACAAACATTTGCTCTTCCCAAAAAGGAGTTCATCCAACCGTATGTTTCCAATACGGCTAATTGCTGCCCAATTTTGACCGTAGACTATTCACTATTACATTGAATATATTTCCATAAAATCAAAGACAAGAATAAGAAGGGAAAAAAAAAAAAAAACCCAGATTTTTAATCACTGAATGTAAATCTTCCGATATTATGTTTGTAATATGAATTATTAAACATAAAACGCCGCAGTTTCATAGATAACATGTAATGAAAATATAGATAAAAAATAAAAATAAATAAATAAATCATGTTTGTACAACTCTAATGGCAGACTCAGGTAAGCTATTTTGGATTCTTGCAGCCAACTAAAACACCAAGCAAATAAATACTTCTCCACAGAATTCATGATCTTAGCTTCTTATTGTTAGTTTTGTTCACTAATCCACCAGATTAGTTCAATTAGTTGTGAAATGGAAGAACAAATAGAAGATGTAATTGAAAACATTCTTCCTGTAGCTTTCATCTGTTGACGTCATTTACATTAGAAAAAAGATGGTTAAAAATTACAAGAAGGAAATAATTAGTAGACTGGACTTAGTTGATCGGCCAACGTAGTCCAGAGTAAACGGCTCTGCCGAAAAGAGGATGCACATCTTAAAGTTTGAACCTCCGCGTCTAGCTTCTCGATGTCTACCATATAAAACGCAAATGCACTGAATTCGTCAGAGACAAAACTAGTTTGTTTGTTGGGCATCTAGGCATTATAATTCTTTGAAGAAAGAAAAAAAAGGCGCACAAATGATGTGATACATATACATGTAAGTATATATGAAATTTTGTTATTTATATCTAAAAATTTATAAAAGTGTTTTTTATTTATATAAAATATGCTCTTTAAAATAAAGAAGATAATTAGAGATGCTCTAATTCACATGTTTCAAATCTTTACAACTTTAAGTAAATATCGATTTGTAGTAGAGTAATACTACATTTATAATTCAATCTCGTAAATTTTTTCTCACAACCCCGACGTGACAGTTTGTAATGAATTCGTCTATCCAATTGCGAACTGTCGCGTTGGGATTGTGAAAAAAACTTTATAAAATTAGGTTGTGAATCAATCTTTATTGTTTGTAATATTATCGGTTTAACTCTAACTTTAATTTACATTAATATAATAAGAGAGTAATGGTTGAGATTTTTTATGAAAAAAAAAAAAAAGATATTCAAAATTCTGAATATCAATACACGTGATCTAACGATAGCTAATTTCTATCACATTTATGATTTATGGCTAACATGTTTACTTGTATTAAAATGCTACACTACAAATTTGGGAAAACAAAATATTAAAATGTAATAATTTAATACCATAAATTTTGGCTGATATATCTGGAAATTACTATTTAGGTGTAGGGTTAAAGTGAAATAAATAATAATAATTATTAAAGTAAGGAATATAATTAGCCAGAAAGAACAAGTCGTAAAGAAAGAGGAACATAAACAAAATATTAAATTGCGTAATTAGTACTCAAAACATCAAATCATTGCTTAAATTAGAAGTCAAAATAAAAATTAATTACCTTTCTCACTGGTAATTCTCTATTAGCAGATGATTTAAATACTCTCTTTACTGTCACTCCCCTTTTTTCCCATCTCTCGAAAACGAATAGGCTAATTAATTGAACACAAAGAAAAAATATAAATTAATTAAAGTCATCTAAAATGGCAACAATTAAGGCTTAATAAATTAGAAAATGCTAAAGATAATGAAGAACCAAAGTAAATCATCACCCCATTTACTCCATTAATATGTAAAACCAAAATCACAATTCAATTATTTCAAATCAATATTGAATTCTTTTCTTATGTAAAACCAAAATCACAATTTAATGTGTATTCATATATTTTTTTCAGGTGATAAAATCCAAATTTAAGGAAAAAAATTAAAAATTAAATAAACTAAAAAGTGATATCCATGAGAAAATATGAAATATTTGCTTATTAAGTTCAGACAGGTGTGAACAAGTGATCTGTATATAATTGAAAATCACAATTTAATGTAGATTCGATATTAATTTGCAGTGATTTTCATACAAAAATCTATATTTTTTTAGAATTCGAGGAAAAAATACAAATAAAATGTCTTACACCCGTCGTGGATGATAACATAAAATCAACTCATAAATCGAAAAAAGTGATCCGTACATGAATATAAAGAAGAGTAACTTTCAAATAAAAGATGAAAAAACCCAGAAAAGAGAATTAGAAGATATTATATAATGTTGAACGTTTACTGTTTATTATTTTGAACTGAACAAGTCTTCTCCAAAAATCATATAGAAGGAGATCCAAAGGGTCTTGTCATTAATTATAAATAATATAACAAATGAATGAAAAATATAAATTATTCAACATAACATTTGTATATGATTTAATAAAATAAATATGTTTACTTATGGACTACTAAAATAGAATTGTTACAGTTAAAGCACAAACTTTGGTTTCTTATGCATGTAAATGAACTTATTTTAAGACGAAATAATAAGTTTAAAGTAACATAAATAATTTCATAATGATCTCTTTCTTCTTCTTCTCTTCGCGATCTTCTTCTTTCTCTTTTTTCCATATGTGGCCAGCCACTTCTCCTTCATCTTCTTTTTCGTCATCTCTCCCTCCTCTTCTCTTTCTTCTTCTTTCTTTGGGTCTTTGGTCCTCCCTCCGGATCTGGTCAGCCGACCCTCCAACGGCGGAAATTTGGAGGTATGAAAGAAATATAGTATTTACGGAAGCAACTGGGTTGTTTATTTGATGAGACATTTGGGCATAAATTCAAACTCTACTTTCTGTTAGCGTGTTAGCCAATTTGTGCTCAGTTAGGGGTTATTCAACTGGGCTGCTGGGTGCACGAATCAGAGGATTTTGTTTCGACGATGAAATTAATGCTGTTGGGATTGTAACGTGGGTTTTTGCGTATCAATCGCATTTTATGGTAATCAAAGAAGACAAGCTTTTATTATCAAATGAATAACTCGTGATTCGGGGAAGAAACAAAATTGGTACAAATTTGTTTATTGGAGAAGAAACAAAATTGATTGTTTTGCTTGGTGGGGAAAGAAAAAAAAAATAGTTATAGAATTTTCGTTTGAAGGGAAAAAAATTACGAATTAGGTTTGGTGGGGAAAGAAAAAAATTAGTTACAGAATTTTTGTTTGAAGAGAAAAAAAAAAAATTGAGCATTTCGTTTGGTGGGCGAGAAAAAAAAAAATTAGAAATCTGTTTGAGGGGCAGAAAAAAAAAAAAATTAAATTTCATTTTGAAAAATAATAGATAAAATTATGTTTATATTTATAATGAAGGTTGAAAATGTCATTTTACAGTTTCAACATTTTGATTTTTAACAGTAAATTTTAACGGTCCGTAAAAAAGGGGTTAGCTATGTAATAACAAAACTAGCAGGTGCTTAAATTTCAGGCGAAACCTGTGGGGGTGTACTAAATGATCCTATTAATTATCTATTCTATTTATCTATTTAATA